TACACGCCATATTTTTCCAAAAATTTTGGCATGTGGTTGGCAATGCTGTTTTCGAAAAAGTTTCTCAAATTCTTGCTGGGAACTCTTCTCAGAGTCGGGTGAATCACACGAACATAACTCTCATTCCCAAGGTTAACTCTCCCACTTCCATGTCGGAATTCCGACCGATTGCTCTCTGCAATGTACTCTGTAAAATTGCTTCGAAGGTGATTGTGATGAGATTAAAAGAAATTTTGCCAAATGTGATCTCGGAGAACCAAAGCGCTTTTGTTCCGGGAAGACTGATTACAGATAATGCCATGATTGCTATGGAGCTTTTCCATACTATGAAGAAGAGAAGTACGAGCAGAAAGGGGGTTATTTCCCTAAAACTTGACATGAGCAAGGCGTATGATAGAGTTGAGTGGTTTTTTCTGGAAAAATTACTTCTGAAAATGGGGTTTGCAGAGGAGTGGGTTCGGGTCGTGATGAGTTGTGTTAATTCTGTGTCTTACTCATTTATTATTAACAGGAATGTGTGTGGCAAGGTCATTCCTTCCCGTGGTCTTCGACAGGGTGATCCGCTTTCTCCTTATCTCTTTATAATTATTGCGGATGCTTTTTCGGCTCTTATCAAGAAGGCCACGGATCATAGGCTTGTTCATGGTGCGAGTGCTAGTAGAATTGGGCCGAAGATCTCACACCTCTTCTTTGCAGATGATATTCTTCTCTTTGCTAGGGCAAACTGAGTGGAATTCTCACAGATAGTTGATATTCTCAACATATATGAAGCAGCTTCCGGTCAGAAAATTAACTATGAGAAGTCGGAGGTCTCTTTTAGCAAAGGTGTTTGTGCGTCGAAACAAGAAGAGTTGAGACAATTTCTGGGAATGAGATTAGTGTCTGAGCATAAGAAGTACCTAGGAATTCCTACCATTTTGGGGAGATTGAAGAGAATGATTTTTGCCGCTTTGAAGGACAGGATTTGGAAGAAGCTAAATGGGTGGAAGGAGAAATTGATGTCACGTGCCGCCAAAGAAGTCCTAGTAAAATTGGTCATACAAGCCATCCCCACTTACCTTATGGGAGTATACAAAATTCCTATAAGTGTAATCGATGAAATCAAGTCTATGGTTGCAAAATTTTGGTGGGGTCACACTGAAAATCGACGCAAAATTCATTGGCTCAGTTGGGACCGATTATGCACACCAAAGTGTCTCGGAGGCCTTGGTTTCCGGGACATGGCAATGTTCAATGATGCGTCACTCGGCAAACAAGCATGGCGCCTCATATCAGCCCCGAACTCGCTTCTAAGCCGTGTCATGAAAGGTAAATATTACCCCAACTGTGATTTCTTGGAGGCTTCTCTTGGTTTAAAGGGTAGCTATGCATGGCGAAGCATATGGAGTGCCAAAGCGCTAGTAAAAGAGGGACTTATATGGAGGGTGGGTAATGGAAAGTCAATTGACATCTATTCGGCTCCCTGGGTGGCAGATGAATATGGGAAATTTATTGTATCTCCTAGAGTTGGCAACCTTTCTCTTGTGAGTGATCTCATTGATGAGGAGAATGAAAACTGGAATTATGAAGTTCTGGCAGCCAATTTTGAGGAACGAGATAGAGAGTGCATCATGCGCATTCCCATCAGCCTCCAAGGGAAACTAGATCAGCTAACCTGGGCCTTTTCTAATGATGGGGTATACTCTGTCAGAACGGCTTATCGATCTCCTTGGTAAGTCCTGCAATCTGAATGATTTCCATGAGGCTTGGGGTTTGATTTGGGGTCTTGAAACCATCCCCAAAATAAAGCAGTTTCTCTGGAGAGCGTGCACCAGATCCCTTCCCACGAGAGAGCTACTTCACTATAGACATATGGCTGAACAAAACTCGTGCCCGTGGTGCCCTTCGATGTGCGAATCAATGAATCATGCTTTTTTCTCTTGCTACGCTGTAAAGGATTTGTGGAGGGAATTGGACTGCGATATGCTTGTTCCTTCTGACCCGAATGAACACTTCGTTCAAAGTGATGCTCGTGCGTTGGCAGAAAATCGATCCAAAAAAATGCCTGAGAGGTGCTGTATTGTTGTGGTTTATATGGAGTAGGCGTAACGATAAAATTTTCAATAATAAGGAAGTGCCTCACTTGATAATCAAAGACCGTGTGCAAAAAATTATAGATGATTGCCTCAAGTACATCACAAAGATTTATGGTGGAGTCGGGGTTAGAAGAAGAAGCAGCCCGAAAACTTGGAGCCCCCCCCCCCCCCTGCTGGCTTTATCAAAGTCAACTGTGATGCAAGTTTGCGTGAAGAAGGGTGGGTTGGCTTAGGTGCAGTGGCAAGAAATGAAAATGGTGAAGTCTTGTTTGCGGGTGTTCGCAGAGCTAGGAGCAGCTGGTCCCCTGTGGTGGCAGAAGGAAGAGCCATTCTGTTTGGCCTCAAATTAGCTCGAAGGTATGGAATAAGGAATTTGGTGGTGGAATCGGATTGCCAAATAGTCACTAATCAACTCTCAAAGGCTGTCACTTTTCTCTCGGATTTGGACACGGTTTTGGATGACATTATATTCTCTTGTAAGCACTTTGAATTTATTTCTTGGTTACATGTTCGTAGAGATGGGAATGTCGTTGCTCATCATTTAGCTAGGTTAGTTCCGTTTGGTTTTGAGCAAGTTTGGGAGAATCACTGTCCCCCCGAAATTGCACCTTATGTACTCATGGACAATTTGTCCAAATCTTGATTAATGGAACTTCTAACTTTCTCTTAAAAAAAAAAGAAATTAAAAGGTGGTAAATCAATTTTAGGTGATTTGAGGAGTGATAAGTTACAATTTTCCTTTTAAAAATTTGGTTAGATTAATTGATAATCAAACTTTTATCTATAAAATTTAAATTATATATATATGAGTACATGAGTAAAACTAGACCTGGCAAATGGGTCATTCGGGTCGGGTATGGGTTGGGTCAATTCGGGTCGGGTCAAGTTCGGGTCAAAAGATTATCGGGTCAAGTTCGGGTTGGGTCGGGTCATTTCGGGTTTCGGGTTGATTTCGGGACGACTGATAAACGGGTCGGGTTGGGTCGGGTATCGGGTCAACAGTTCGGGTCGAGTTCGGGTCGGGTCAAGTTTGGGTCAGGTCAGTTTGGGTCGGGTCAATTTTCGGTTCGGGTCAGGTCAATTTTCGTCCGGGTCAACTTCGGGTCAGGTCAACTTCTAGTCTAGTCATATTCGGGTGATTCATTGGGTTAAATTCAACTCTGTATATATATTTATTTATTTATTGACGAAAAACTCACTATATTTATTAAGGCTATTTTTTTCATGGATTATAGTAATTGTTTGACTTTTATTAACCTTTTTTTTTGTGTGTTTAGAACTTTAGGCTGAGAATCACTTTCATGATCTCCTGAAACTAAGAAGGATGCTCTAACTAATTGAGTTATACCTCACTCTCTTATTGATCTTAGTTTTAATACGTACTCTTATTATCATTGTCATTGTTGTAATAATTTCTTTGAATTATTCTTATACTCCCTTCGTCCCAAATTACTCTTAACGATTTGACATTTTCCACTATTCACACATCTCACTTTGACCATCTTTTTTAACTATTATATGAAAGACAATGTAGTCATGTAAGATGTTATGAGTCTATTTTAATGTATAATTTCCTAATATAAACTTTTTATACTACCTCCGTTAACTTTTATTTGCAACTTTGGGGTATTATTTGTGAGATATAAAATATTCCAAAATTGCAAATAAAAGTTAACGGATGTAGTAACTTATATAATTATTTACTAAAAGAAGTTAAAGGTCGGGTCATTTTCGGGTCGGGTCAACTTCGAGTCTCGGGTCAACTTCGGGTCGGGTCGTTTCGGGTCTCGGGTCAACTTTGGGTTGGGTCATCTCGGGTCAGGTCGTTTCGGGTTGGGTCATTTCGGGTTTCGGGTCAAGGTCGGTTCAGTTCCACTTCGAGTCGGGTATGGGTCGGGTCGGGTTAATTCGGGTTTTGGGTCAATTTCGGGTCACTAGTTTCGGGTCGATTTCGGGTCATGGGTCGGGTCGGGTCGGGTCATCGGGTCTGGGTCAGGATTGCCAGGTCTAAGTAAAACTGAGCATGGTAATTGGGCATTCATGAGATGTAGGAAAAAGATTTTGATTAAAAAAATATTTTAGACCACCTATTGGCTTGGGCAACCAATGGCTTTGTTCTAGATGTATATAATTAATAATTAGAAATAAATGTTATGAAACTCATATAAACACCTATAACACACTTCACGATAAGAATTGGTTTTAACACATTACTAAAACATGCAATTTCTATTAAACTCCCGGAGTACAATGAGCATGGTCAAAATGACGCCGATTCTACCTGGGACAATAGGTAGTCAGCCTCTTCCTCTATTATTTCCTCTTCCTCCCTGATTTTCTCCCTCTTCTTCCTGATATACTTTGCTTCCTCTATGTTATATCAATTTTTATGAATTTAATCCTCTTTATTCCAATTTCAATTTTTCATTCTAATTTTTCTCTCAATTCAATCAATCACTCTTTTTGTCAATTACTTTACTAAATTGAAGATAATTCTGCGCAATTTGCTGGGTATCGAGGTCGATGATGTTCAATTTGTATCAGCTTGGCTTCGTCCCGAACCAAGGCAAGTAGTACGGTCCTTGTTGAGTAAGGCTTCGACAAGCATAACTCTAGCCAAGAGCTCCGCCATAACGACAGAGGAACCACCCAGCCTGCTGGGACGGGCGGCTCAATTTTACACTATTGCAAAATTTATGATTCTTTTTGACAAGTAACATATAGTTTAATCTAAAATAATATGTCCATTAAAAATAACATGTGTTCTAACAGTTAAATTATAAATAGCATGAGTTAAGGTTGAAGTAGATAAGTAAATAACAAATTGTTGTAACATAATAACACAACATTTAATCAAAATAACAGAAAGTGTACGCAAAATAACTCTCATATTGTGCAAGGAGTACCATGATCCATAGTACTCTAGGAGTATATAATATTAATTGACTAAACGGAAATTTCACCATATACCACTAATTAAAGCTTAATTCACCATATACCATAGAAAACAATTATGGTCAAAGTTAGTATATATACAATTAACCTTACAAATAACAATAGAGTTTTACTTAATCATACAATACAATTAACAATAGAATTTTACTACAAAATTACGGTTGAAATTAGAATACAAACAATGTAATACTGTAGCAATTGAAGCTTTATAGCCTTCATAAAAACAAATACTTCTTTTCCTGCTGCTATTTCTAGACCATATGAATGAACTACGTTTCTTCCTCCATACCAATGCAAACTTCCAGTCAAATTAGAAAGAAACATTTATCAAAAAACACGTCTATCTTGAGTATATACCTCCAATATTTTCCCCCAACTTGGAAATTGCAGAAGGGCCTTGAAGAATCAATAAACTCCACTAGGCGATTGGTTCATCTGATCATAAGTCATTGCCATCGTCATGTTGGAGCGTGTGAAATTAGAATGTTGGCTCAGACGGCTCCACAAATTCACCAGTTATCCTGCACAAAGAACTTTTGTTAGCTTTGAATATCTTGCAAATTTTAAATCTAATTTGGAGGGGCGATCAGAATGATTTTAATTTTCAAAAGCTCTTCTCTGTCCTCACCGCTGCCATAAGATGGTGGATCACACTTCTGCCTATTACTTGTGAGCTAGACTAGAAATCTAGAGACTCCTTGTCAAATTTATTGTAGAATTAAAAGCTGGAACCTTTGACAGATTACATATCAAAGATAAACTTAGAAGCACAATGCTTCATCCCTTTAACATTCACTTGAGCCCTTTGAGACTGTCCGATTTTTTTTCTACCAAAATCTCAATACAAGGAATCCGATTAAGTTGACAAGGCTTGCATGCAGCTATCCTCATTACTCGAACTAATCCATTTCAACAATTTCATATTACAACTAGCACCTCTTATCACTTTAATGTTTAAACGCCATTAATTTAATTTCAACCGTTTACTATGTTACAGTATCACGCCTACAACTATATTCCTCACACTAACAGTAATACCATATCCCAAAATTTGTATGTTATCCTATGCCTCAATGAGCTTTATCTTTATTATATTAGCCAAGGGGTGGGAAGGGGGGGGGGGGTGAGAAATGTTGGTGTCCAATTTTGAAGTACCTAAATTGCCCCTAAAAGCTTAACCAAAACTTTTTAAAAAATACTCAACATAATAACTTGAGTTTCCAAACAAAACTATGAAATTGACTCATTTTACCTAAACTAAGAATCTTCTAACAATAAATAAAACCTTTGACTAGAATAATAATCATCCAACAATAAATAAAACCTTTGACTAGAATAATTGCGATACAATTTAGAGGAGAGATGCATAGTGGAAATGATTATGAAAATGCCAAAAAAATGCACAACATAATGACCATGAGAAAGAACGTTGCACATTGAGGAATAAAATGAGTGGAAATGCCCATGTTAGCTTTTATGTTCAAAATTTGTTTATATTCTAGAACTTTTAGTTACCTAAACTAAGAATCTTCTAACAATAAATAAAACCTTTGACTAGAATAAAAATCTTCCAATAATAAATAAAACCTTTGACTAGAATAATTGCAATACAATTTAGAGAAGAGAGAGATGCATAGTGGAAATGATTATGAAAATGCCAAAAAATGCACAACATAATGGCTATGAGAAAGAACGTTGCACATTGAGGAAGAAAATGAGTGGAAATGCCCATGTTAGCTTTTATGTTCAAAATTTGATTATATTATAGAACTTTTAGTTACTATATAATCTTTATGTCACAGGTTTAAATTTACAAATTTGATTATAATTTTAGACTATGTAATTTAAATTTTCATGTTTTAACAACTCCATAGTTTAATGTACGTAAGAAATGTATTTAAATTTGACTAACTTTACATTAAATTTTCAGAAAACATACAAAGGCCCTTCTTATTTTCTGGGTTGTTTTCACACCATCAGATTGATAATCTGATGAATATACGCCTAAGATTGCTTATTTTTAGGTTACATATAAACGGCAACAGTAAGTACCTTTTATAGGTCAAGTAGGTATCACCTATTGTGCCAGCAACCTTATTCCGCACCTTCCTTACACAGATCTGAGAAAAATGAAACAGAAGTCAGTACTTTAGTGGAAAATGGGTTCAAAGAGAGAGTGTATATAGATTTAAAACTGTGGACAGAATTCATAACCTGTACTCTATCAATAGGGCCAGCCTCTGGATCCCTGTTCCGATGTACTACAATTCCATTATCACATTTGTTGATGAAATGTGCACTACCACTGATGTCATAAAGATTAGGAGCATTCCCAATCCAGTTGTGCAGCTGTTTGAGTGAAAGTAATCAGAATGGAATCTGGAAGGGAAAAGGACAATGACTTCACTCAGCTCACCTGTCTAGGATGAGCAACAAACCAAACATGGCAAGAGTGATGTTGAGCAAATCGCTTGACCATTGTGAGCATCTGGCTAACGTACTCTGTTTCTGTCCTGTTGCATATATCGTTCAGAGCCATAAACTTCAAGAATGGGATTGAGTCCAACAGAAATATATAAAGATCAATCATGTATAATAAAGATCCACTTTCACATGGAAAATTTGGAATATAATAAGAATAATACAATCCTAGTGGCAACAAGAAGTCAACAATAACCACCTAGACCTCAACCATCACTTTGAGATGAAAATAAAGCAGCCTAGAAAAAAACAAGGTCAGTGCGATAATCTACTAATATACATGGTCCAATAAGGATCAAACTATAACAATGAACCCAGCCCCTACTCCCATGTTTGAATTTGTGAGCCACATATCTCTCCTTAGATTACATAGGGGGTTAGAGATGTGTTGTTCAGAACCATTGGGCCTACGCCTACATGAACATCAACCAAAAAGCTCAATTATTCTTCTGTGGTACAACCAATGTTTTTCTCCTTGATTATCCATTTGAGGCATCAATTGATACTATTATTTATTTTTAACTCATTTTAATTTCTATGATTCATCTCCAGACTATGAGGAAATTCTCCAAAGATTCCAATATTTTGTGGTAAGAATAAGAATTGGAGCAAACTTAAAAGGTTTCCATAATGACATTGCTAGGTTTGCAATTATACTTATAATTCAAGATTGCTAGGCTTGCAATTATGCTAATGGTCCAAGCAAAAGACTTGTTGCTGGATTTTTCTAATATGTGCTGTCCTTGAGAAAGTGTCAGCTTAAATAGGGCATTCATACCCTGTAATTTAATTTTGCTGGGATCTTATTACTTTCCTAATGGGAGTAGGACTGCTTGTAGTAAACTGTAAACCTAGATTTAGCCCAAATGGCTTGCCTCCCACTAACTACTCAACAAGCAAACATTGGCCAATGGCCAACAATTGTATTTTGTATGCGACGTAGTCCCATAAATACCCTCTAAAATTTCCAGGAAGCCAAAGCTCAATATATTCATGTATAAATAAGGTGAGCAACAAAATATTTGGTTATCCGTTAGAGAAAAGTTCTAGAACCCCAACCAGATCGTACCTCTTTCTCTTCTTGGTCAGATTGTACCTCTTTCTCTGGACAAAGGTTTGCTCCTACTGAACTCATTTTTTCAAGCGATATTCTAGCTGCCTTCCAAACTAAAAAAAAGACATGGTTTTGGACATCCAGGTACCCATGCTTAAATTATTGTAGACAAGGAGCTGCACAGCTTCCCACAAGTACACTTCTTTACCCGACCCATAAAAAAAACTCATTCCTATGCTATATCTCCATCTTCTAAGCAAGCTTAAAGCAGTTCCACATTAAGAGATGCAGGGAAAAACACACACACACACACACTCTGCAAGATAAAATTATTTATATGCAAAATTATAAGCACCGCACATGCTGCTAAGACGTTGATGGTCAAGCTCGTTATACGGATCAATGACAAGGCCACGCACACCATGCCTCAAAACTGCAGCTTTTGCTAGATCAAGAACCCATTTGATGTTGGGAAGGCTATCATTCTCACACCTGAATTACAATCAATCGGTTAGCAAGATATCAACTGGAAGCTGCAATTCTGCAAATATCTCCATAACATTACCACATAAGGAATTATCTAAACAGATAAGAAAGAAATTAATCTAATGCCTCTGACATCCTGAAATTTTATAAAGTTCTAAACCGTAAAAAAAATTATTGGTGTGTGGGAAAAAAATCCCTTAAAAGATTCCCTCTCCTTTATGATAAAGAACAAAATTCAAGGTGAACTTCAGAACACTTCTCCAAATTCAAAACTACTGGATGCCAAACCAAATTTATATATACATATAAAAAAAAATAAAAAAAAAATTAAAAAAAAAAACCACCCTTAATGTAAAACTCATATTATAATATCTTATGTTCCACAAGTTTATTTCATGAAACCACACCACAGCGGCACAAATCACTCAAGACTTTGCCAGTTTTTAGCAAAGAAGAGGAGAAGAAAAGGAAAGATAGCAACTAACCCAAACTAAACCGCACCAAGAAACCTACATGGTCTGCAGGATCCTCTCACGTCCAAATGTATAATTTAAAAAGTTTTGACAGTCCATCTGGGTACTCAAAGCATCATATTCAAGGCATCCTAACAGCTAACACCTAAATACTGATAGACTATTGAACTCTTTTCAATTCTAATATAATAAACAGTAGTTTAGAATTAGGTAAAAGAAACGAAACAGGCAAACAGTTTACAATGGATTGCATAGGTTTAAGAATGTAGTATGAAATAACAAAACTAATTGAAAGAACATGAAATATGGAAAGCAAAGGAAGTTGAAACATTACCAAGTCAAACCTGATTTTATGGAGAAAAATATTGAAACCATACCGTATAAGTTGGAATGTATTATCTAGCCATTTCTTTCCTTGCTCTAAGTCCTCTCTACTCATGCGCTCAAAAGATTCAGCATACCTGCACTTAATAGAAGAGTGCATTACTTTTTCCTGACTTGATTAAACATAATATTCTCATTAGACACACTAAGAGCCTAAGAGGCTTGAGTGATCTAGCAATATAAAGAACAATATTTAGTACTCCTACCGACTAAAAATATGCCAAATTAGCAATCCTTTTGACCCAAAAATCCAAAATTTAAGTACTTAAAAGAATTACTAATGATTCCATATATACATCGTTTTCTCTAACTTCTTTCATCCAAAATATATGTAGCTTAACAACAGCAATGCAATATCAAATGTGAATTACAAATATCAATACACCACTAAAGGTAATTCTATAGTATAGTTACTCCCTCCATTTCCTTTTAATGTACCCATTTATAGTGGAACTTGTTTCCAGAAGAATTTAGTGGAAGTAAAAAAAAAAAAAAAAAGTGGATTAAGAAAGAGACAATAAAAAGGTGGGTGAGTATAAGAAAAAGGAGAAAAATTAAGACAAAGTATCTAGAAAGGTGTACATATTGAAGGGTAAGGGGGTTAGGATAGTAGAGTAAACTTGCCTTAATTCAAGAAAGGAAAAACGCAAATATCAAATAGAAACGCTTTAACACGGAATATGTTTATAATAGTCAAATTCACTTTAGTGTTGTCTAATTTTATATGTGAAAATCGCAAAGGAGATTGAAATGCTGGTCAAAGGTTATATCTTCAATAAAATTTGGCATAAAATATTATCACACCATAAGCATAAACACCTTAAACATATTATCTAAGGATTAAGTCATGGATTTGAGGATTGGACACGAAAATTCTTGTTTCAAAATTTAAAGACATGGACACGGTAAACCAATCAAAATATACTCTCCCAATTCCAAAATAAATGCATCACTTTCAATTAAACGCAATTTTTATGAGTATTTACTTGTATTAGTATTAGGTGGAGCAAGAGAAGATTTAATCTAGTAAAAGGACATGGGGACCATGGCAAACCGAGAATATGAGAGTTTTTCTCCGTAAAATATAATGGGAAATTCAAAATGGCAACAAAATATTTGGCAAATTCTCCCAACTAGCATTACTCTTTATAAATTTTCCTAATATGACAATATTTTTACAATTAGCAACTAATAATCTTAATTACACAATAATTAAAAAGTACAGAGCGTCAAAGCACTCCCGGCAGCTACCACTGAACCCACCTCTTCACCCCCCCCCCAAATTACAACACCCAACTCGCCTAAACCCCGCAAACACACCCCACCCCTCGCCGGAACCCCACGCAGCACCGGAACCCTAAAAAGCCTTTCCCCTCTCCTTAAACCCTACTCCGTATCAAAGGCAGCGAAGACAAACAACACACAACAATAAAATAAAAAATCAAAACACCGAAACCCGAGCTACAAAACTCAAATCATGGTAATATAGAATAGATTCTTTCTCCAATACTTGCAAACCAGAGTGTCTCAATTGCATGATGTTAGGGTGATTTAGCATCACCAACAATGGCAGAACCTGACCCAAACAAATTGGTATGCAGCAATTACGATTACCTTGGTTCATAAAGGGGAAGAGTTTTTAGGGTTCCGGTGCCGCGTGGGGTTTCAGCAAGGGATGGGGTGCGTTCCGATGGCTAGCCTACGGCATGGGGGTGAGTGAGTGCTCTGACACCCTATACTTTTTTTTAAAAAAAATCATTTTAAAATTATTGTTTAAAAAAGATAATTATTTGCCAATTGTATAAAATTGTTATGTTAGGGAAATTTATAAAAAGTAATGCTATTTGGGAGAATTTGCCAAATATTTTGATACCATTGAGAATGAGCAAAAGTACATGGCTAACATTGATAATTTCCCAAAAATAATTAAAGTAGGGACCATGAGAGAGAGAAATGTTACTCCCTCCATCCCTTTAAGTTCTTCACATTTAAATCTAGCATAACATAAATAAAAAAAAACTTCTATATTCTTTCCCGTAATAAAATAAAAAATAAAAATAATCAAGCGGGTTTTTTTGTTTTTTTTTTGTTTTTTTTTTTTGAAGCAAGTGGGGGGGGGGGGTTGTGTTTGATTTGTCTCAATAAGCACTTTTATAAACTTTTCTAAAAAGTAACTAGAGATATTAATAATTGTATATGCTCATAAGCAAACGTGCCAAAAGGTGAGAACTTAAAGGAACAAAGGGAATAAAATAATTTGGGTGGGGATTGTGGAATGAAAAATAATAAAATATGGTAAAAAGTTACCAACAAAAGAAAAAATAAAATATGGTAAAAAGTTACCAACAAAAGAAAAAATAAAATATGGTAAAAAGTTACCAACAAAAGAAAAAATAAAATATGGTGAAATGTTGCCATAAAAGAAATAATAAAATAATGGAGGTAAGGCATGTGATAAGGGATATATTGTTTTTATTTAGGAAAAAAAAAAAAAAAAAGATTTATTATTAGTTATAAAAACTCAATATTTATATAAGATAACTTTTAAAGGAGTGATGTTGATTTTAAGGTTAGTAAAGTTATGTGATGTAAAACATTATGCATGCAAGAGAATCAAGATCCAGCAAATATATGATGGGTTCGCATCACTTAGACTTCCACAGCCCCCATGTTTTCATTCTCCTTATCTAAAATTTGATGCCTCAATATTCATATCACACCAACACATATTTTTTATTTGGTAGTATCCCCTAGTGAGTCCAACCCATATCTCCAATCAGGAAGTTGGTTAGTTCATGCTGACAGGGTATGACTTAGGTTAAGTTTTATGTCCAACTGTCCAAGCATCAAACATCTTATCAACTCCACTAGTCCAGTCACCTAACAATAGCATCTATACAAATTAGACTTTTAACAACATGCATCCATATATTATATCCTCCATAAACCTTGAAACTAAATTGAAGGACTAGCCAAAAAGGTACTAAAAGATTAAGAACAAAATTAGTTGAAAATTACCGAACATCAAAAAATGGTTTCTTTATGTGCTTCTCCAAAAGTTTTCTTGCGTGTTCCCGGACCTGAATCAAAACCAATCAAACATTAGTACATAATATACATACAAAGATTACGATCATATAAATCAATTTCTAAACAAAGCAAACCTTGTCAATAAAAAGTTTCAATCAAAGCTAAAAGGTCAAACAACAAAATTAGAAATTGATTAGTAAATGTCGCTTGATAACCAAACTTAACATTATCGAAAATTAACCATATAAAAAGCCCTAAATGAGTACAAAAAGGACACTCCTATATCCTAAAAGAAAATTCCCTATGAATGTAAGATGATCATAGAGTTTAACTGTTTAAGTATTTTAAAATTTATAGATCAATATTAGCATAGCATTCAACTTGTAGCCAATGCGTAAGAATGTAGCCAATACGTAAAAATGTAGCATCAACAATCCATGAAAAGGAGCACATGAAGAAAAAGCGGTGGTTTCATGGTGTTGGCTAGCTAGTATTATGAGTATTTGCACAAGGTTAAACCTTACATTCACAGCACGGGAATTCATCTTGTACATTTGTATCTTTTCCCTAAAGCTGTCACCGAAACTAATTAATGAGATTTCAATTCACTTCCACAAAATTTGATGCTACTAACAAAATACTATTATACTATCCATAATGCCCCTTACCAGCGCTAAATTAAGCTCATCACTGGTGAATCTTTCCACCTCTTCAGACAGCGTAGCTAAGAAGGGATAATCCTTAAAGTTACCAAAAGGTAGATATATGGTTTAAGAGGAGTTGGTCTTCTTGGGGATTGGGTCTAACTTTTCGATGTTGCAATGGAAGGATGTGTTGGGCAGGCATGCAAGAAGTGAGTTAGCTGTAAAATATTGGGTCGGAAAAGTGGGTTTCCATATTGGTGGAGTTGTGGGCTCAACGGTAGAAAATTGGAGTTGAAAACTTGAAAATATGGGTGGAGAGATAAGGCTTAAATTTAGTAAAATAAGATTCAAGGCCTTTTTCCCTTCTCTTTAGAAGGTTAGAGATTTGGAGGGTGGAGGAAGAAGAAAAATTCTGCTTCATTAAAAAAGGATATAATTAGATCTGCAAGGGCAGCCAATGGCACATTACCCATTTCTTTATAGTTGATGGTTGCCTCTCTTGTTATGTCATCAATCTATGCAAGAATATTTTTTTTAGAGAGAATCTTTTTGTACAATTTAAGTATTAAATATGTTTAGCTACGAATAATCATTTATAAAGTTCATAATCAGCGAGTAAAGATAAAGTGACTTATCATGTCTCATTATTTATCTCAATCATGTAACGTTTGGGCAGTCAATGCATTTATGCACATGCTAGTAGTCAAGGAAAGGATCATTTTTTGCTACTATGCACCAAGTTTTAGGCTATTTATTGATCTATAATTATTCAAAATTAATATGAAAGTGATTGTGAATGTGAACTAAAATGTTGGATGGTGTATGTCAGTCATTATCACCTACTTAAATTAGTAAATCGCGTAAAATATAAGAGGATATGTGTTAAAAATCTTGGAAAATACACGCTTAAGAGTATAGCATAAAGGGATGTTCATGGATTTTTTTTTATAACCATGCCTTTTCTATAAGCACTGTGATATCATTTGTATATGCTAAAATTTCACCACATTGTGCCATAGGTTTATTTTATTACTAATTTGGATAGCTCTCAAACTAGGTCTCTTCAAGAACATTAGGAGAGGACACTCGTTCCATGCGTAGTCCAAAGCAAGTAAGGTTGTTATAGTGAGTCACGTAATAGAATATTGTAGTGATGTCAAGTGGCTTTTTCATATGATGGTTTTTTTATAAACAAAAAATAGTGAAACATGTTTATTTGTAAGTGTACATAAATAGTCAAGAAAGATTGATTAAAAAAAGTTTTTTTCGTTGATTCCTGCATCAATTTTTATATTCTATGTATCTCTTCATAAACTATTTATATTGGAGTTCATTCATACGGATTATGGATTGTAACTATATTTGGGTGTGGGGAATTATGATTGTTACTTGGTTCGATTTACGACATAGAGGCTCCAACTTGAAATAAAGTTGATTGAATTGATTTTGGATTTTTATTTAGATTAAGTTAGTTATTCCACTACGTAACTTTGGTAAATACCTTAGGCATTATAAGGTAGCAGTAATAACCCAGTAGTTCTCTTAAGTATTTTTGGTGGAAAGGGTTTTTTTAACTAATTGAATTATTAGGGTGCTACACATTCAATTAAAAAATAGCCCACCACTTCCCATTACATCTAACTTTTTAATAAAATAATATACCACAATCTATTTTCACAATAATTTTTCAGTAAAATAACAATTAATACCAAAATAACAATGATGTGTTATGATAATTATTATAACTAGTCTAGGATAAAGGGTGCATAAAATTTTTAACAAAAAAAAAAAAGGACAGCTTAAAATAGCTTATGGCCTTTCTTGCTGATTTGGTAGTAATTCTACCATTTCATTTATATGCATATAACATAAGTAACACCATTGAATGAAGCCATTTTTTTTGAAATCAAATGCCAAAAAAAAGCAATTAGATATGAAATTCTTATGATTTTGAATTACTACTTATATGATTGTAAAATATAGTAAAAAAAAAAAAAAAAAAAAAAAAAAGGAATTTCCAAAGTCATTGATCACACTTATATTAAAGATATCTAGTGACAAACTATTCAATTCACCACACAATATTTTAAAGTACAAGGTCAAATGGGTGCTTAAATTTTAAAGCAAACTTCAGCAGCCTTGCTAGGAAGCCCAAAAGTATAGTGTCATATGTTGCTTTAATGTTCAGAAGCATATGCACTAAGAAAGAATGTTATGGGCTACAATATTACTGGCTACTCTTCGTCCATTTAACTTCTGCATCATACTGTACTATATTAATCTTCAGTGAAATAAAGAAGTCTTTACATGGATTAAAACATGCAATCAAGGAACAATGTTTGAATGAAATAATTTCTTGAGGGCAAAGATAGCCAATTATACAGTTTAATTCATCAACTCATCCTCCTAACATTTATTACTGTTACCGGAATTGTTCTCGGTTACTGAGATTCAAGCATGATATTAATTTAAGTATGGCCATACCTTGTTCTCCATTGAGCAAAGAGCAAATTTCCAGCCAACACTTTCATTAAGGTTGCATAACAAAGCATCAATCCATTCACTTTTTCCCGAATTAGGAACGCCAGTAACTATAGTCAATTCACCAGGTACAACCTGTCAAAATCAGATCACCATGACAGTCAACAAAACAATCTATAGATATGAAAGCCAAAACACTATCAAAAAAATTGTAATCAAATAACCGACTGCAATTTGGAATGCTTGAAGAAGAAGCAAGTGTGCCTAGAAATAAGAATTACGAAGCAAGACAGCAAACTTCAACCTGCAGACGATTAAGATTCCCCTTTTCTGTTTAACAAAGTAAAATACTCCATACAACAAATTTTACTTGCTAAATGATTATAAACAACTCACTTGCCAAGTTTCATGTTAAAAATCCTTAAATTGAAGAAGACTTCTAAATTCACTATACCCTCTGCAAAAGATATATGTATCTTAAGCTCTATCTAGAACCACTGTATAAGTTTCCCCAGAGAAATTGTAGTCAAACTTGAAGAAAAAATATTAGTATCCATTATGCTTTCTAGTTTCATCTTCGCCACATTCATCTTATGCACATGGCAATGAATGTGAAGGAGATGAAACTAGAAAGTAGAGGTTACATCGATTGAGTACAAGATAAGGGAGAATCGCTTAAGATGGTTTGGCCATGTAAGAAGGAGACAAAGTGAGGCTCCAGTGAGGAGGCCTGAAGAGTTACATAGTCTTGGGAACACAAAAGGAAGGGTAAGACCTAAGAAAACTTGGAAGAGGGTGATTAAGAGTGATATGAGTGCTTTGGGATTGAGAAAAATACGGGGTATTGGATAGGGCGGTGTGGAAGGAGAAAATTCGTGTCAACGACGTGTTATGATTATATATGTACTTTCTCAAACTGTTTCAATTGATTATCTTGTTATGTCCTTTTCTTTATGTCGTACGATTCCTTATGACAATCCATATTAGCCGACCCCGAATTATTTTGGGACTAAGGCTTTGGTTTTGTTGTTGTTGTTGTTATGCTTTCTAGTTTATAACCAATATATAATTTACATAAAAAAAAGTCTCCATTTAGATTGCTTAATTAAAAAACAAACTAAATATGAATAAAATTAAGTAAACTAACAATCTTACTTCCAATAAGCTTTGAGAATGCTGTAAAAGCTAGAGTTTTGACACTATAAAGGACGGGGGATAATTCTAACAGCCCATGCAACCAGTTTTCAAGAGACTAGTGTAACTAAATGTTTAATACATCATTTTATTCAATAAAATCATTCTATTATATTTGGCTTGCAATACTGAATATAAAAAATTCCCTCTAATATTTTTGGGGAATAATCTAAGATAACCCTGATGCATAGAGTAGTCCACATAATCTTGAGAATAAGTAAATGACTAAAGATAAACATGAGGTATTAACAAAGTCATTGCTCTATATAATCCATGTCATTTTAGATAGCTCCAAAACAACATCATCATGGTTATTTCCAAATTTCAAAAAATCACAACATTACTTTGGATACTCCCTCCGTTTTTTAAGTGAAACATATTGACTTTTAGCACTATTCACACATAAGCTTTGACATAATTTTTTTACTCTAAATAATAACTTAATGTTGTCGTATATATATAGTTGGAATGGACACAATGTAAATTTTACAAATTTTTTTAACTAATACGCAATTAAAGTTATTAAGGGTCAAACATATGCCCCGACATGCGTGAAAAGTGTTAGTGCATCACTCACCGGAGGGGAAAAAAACAAAGGAAGTTTTACCTGGCATAAAAGACAAATCCTACACTAAGAACTACTTTCCCTTTTTAATCCCATATTGAAAATTGTAAAATCATGGCAACTCTTCTTGTTCAATCCTGACATCTGCTCTCAAGAACGACGAGAGAGTGACCCTTTTCTCAACTCCATCCTTTTTCTTACCCTTTTGAAACCCCACTAATTCTATCTTATTGAGCACAAATAGAAATAATGTGATGATTTGGTCTTTACAACTCAGCCAAAAAAGCTTCTAATGTAGATGAAAGCAGAGCCACAAGCTATAGTGCAAGGAACTGTATAATTTATGCATGTAAAATTAGTAAACAAAAAGAATGTATTATTTAGCCTAAAATAAGAAGGGGGTGAAAAAAAGGAACACATTGAAACATGAAAATAGGATGTTTCTGCCTCATTAAACCTTTATGAGAGGAAGGAGAGGCACAAGATATACGTTAATCCTTACGCATTAGTTCATTTTCTTTTCAATAGCTATGGCATAAATATTCATTTTAAATGCTTACATTGTAATACTCATCCAAACACCTCCAACCAGTAGAAACACCAAGTTCATCACCAAGAGCCATATCATAATATGCATCAATTTCATGAAAGTAGTCTCTGAAAGAGAACAATCCCTGAATCGGATATATCTCAGCATTGTTGATTGTTTCCTTGAGTTTTTCTGGCCCCAAATACATTAGTACCTATAAGCAACAAGTTATTAAAGGTCAGTAATTTCATTTAATGATATAAAGAAATGATAAGCGAAGGACTGTTGGTACATTTCAAATCTAGATAAATTACAAATATCCTTGGGATGTCAAAATTCGTGAGCTGGATCATTTTAGGGGAACAGATCCTCAATGCATGAAACTAGGTAGATAATTGAGTTCCCATATGACAACACCAAATATTAAGTAATAGTGCTCCCCTTATTTTTGTTTGTAAATTATTGTAATTGTAGCAATATAAAAAAGAGGAAAATAATTGGGTTTTGCGTAGGAAATTTAAGGAATGAGATTGCCATAAATAGGGATAAAGTAACAGAGCAAATATATTTAAATTTTTGAAATTGTTTTATTTGGACGTAAATTTCAGAAGAAAAGAAAATGATTTGTAATAGGCCAATTGACCACATTGGTATAAAGTTAGCACATTAGTGACACATTGGTACAAAAGTTATCTCTGGTGACAAATTCGTATAAAAGTTAGCAGGTTGCGTCAAATTGGTATAAAAGTTAACCATTTTCGACATTTCACCCTTTTTACCTTTCCGGAGCACTGGTCTATTATACTAATGCTTAATTTTTATTTTATTTTTTGAGTTATTAATCTTTCAATGTCCTTTCATTGTTGCCAATACTCATCTAATGTCCAATACTTTTCCCCTCCATGCCCACTTAACTTATTGACAAATAACAACAAAAAAATTGTATTAGCAAACAAAATTCTCACAAAATGAAAGGAAAGAAGTAGGATATAATGTCACAATTCACAAAAGTAGCTATATAATATACCAAAAAAAAAAAAAAAAGAAAGATGGATGTAATCTCAAACTGTATCAACAAAGTTTGATCTTACAATTTTATTTTTATTAATTCTTATTTATATATTAATATATTTTCTCTAATTTCCTATTTTATTTATCTCTTTTTTTATTTTAAAAGTGAAAAAAAGAAAGGAAAATGATAGATTAATGTCCAAACTAAAGAATAATCATGTATACAATAATATGCACTTATTCGGATAAGAAATAAGGATTAAACGTCGCCACTCGCTAACAATTATGCTAATATGTTGCCATTTGCTAATGTTTATACCAATATGTCGCTACTTGTTAACTTATATACCAATATGTCACCACTTGCTAATTTTAATACCAATATGTCACCCCCAACGATAACTTTAATACAAATAAAGTTTTTTTTTTTTTTACATCCAATATGGTTAATTGGCCATTTGTAACATATAGACTAATTGATTATATTTTTATTAATTGTAAGTCTTAGAAAGAAAAATAAAAAATGAAGAGAAAAGCAAAAAAAATCCACTAAATAACCCATTACCCTTATCATCGCAATTGCCCCCCCCCCCAAAAAAAAAAAAAAAAAAAAAAAAAAAAAAAAAAAAAAAAAAAAAATCTCAATTTATTGCCTAAGCATCTGAAATTCTGAATCGTCTTGATTCAACTCCACGATACTAAATCAATGATGCCTAGATATAAATACTTAAGTTTCTTTTGACTTGAAGCAATTCTAGAGAGAAAATTCAAGTCCACTGGCAATGAATCTAGAGGAATTTTACATTAACACTCATTCTTAATTTTCCATTGACATCAGTCAGGGGCTACCACACTTTTCACAAGTTCTTGAGATGTTCCTAAATGCACCTTTCATTAAGTTTTTAAAAGCATGAGCCTAGGAAATTGACAGCCAAGCATCTTTGGGCATTCTATATGCATTTTTTTTACACATTTCCTGTTTCTGAAAAGCCATGCTAGAAATCACAATCACCGCCATGAATTTGAATATGTGGCAAAATTAATGAAGTCTAATTTCTAATAATAAGCCTTTTATATACATTTTTTTACTGCCTTCTTTTTAAAGTGCGTCCATACTCCTCCCATACCTGCATTGTATTCTTTTTTTTTTCTTTTGCAGATAGGTCAGTTAGATGGTTCAAGCAGCAAATAATATACGCAAATTCAACAACCAGTAAGCATGTCTAATCAAGATTTCAGTCCGTGCAACAAGAACACTTCAATGTCTACAACTTGACATATGTGATCCACAGTTCCACACAACTTATCAGAAAGCAAAATAAACCATCACCTCATTTGCATCCTTGTAGTAATCAAAGTCATTTTTCTTTGGCCACTTAACTCGCCAACATCTGCAATGCATAAAGAAAATGTCAAATCATGTACAAATCTAAGCATGTGGCTGAAATAGATAGGATATCAGAGAATTATACCTCTCCCTCCCAAAGCGGCGAGCAAGCTCCTCTGACAGTGCTTGGCCAGGGGGGTCCCCATCAGTTGCTAATATTATCCTAGATGCCTACAGAATGCAATTGATACCTATTTATTATGTCCATCTCTTCCTAATTATCAATAAAAGTAATACAAGTATAAGATGAATAGCGATACCAACCTTCTCAAAGTACTCCTTGCAATTCCACAAATACTGATACTTTGTGTCCTAGCTTCAAAGAAACGCATGAGATAGTATTAGAAAAATCCCTCCAGAACTTCCCCTATATATGTAATATGATACTTGCTGTTGAAATCAGAATAACTGAGAGAACCAACAAAACAGAAAAAAAAAAAAATTTAAATGCAAGACACCCAAAAACAATGTATAGTGTTATAACATGTTCCAACACATGCGACATGCCTTCATTTGACATCAAACTTATAAGCATAAATATTGACCTATCTTTCAAACATACATGAATATACATGACGATGTTAATTAAAAATTGACTTGCTTTGGGTGGAACATGATAGAGACAAAGATATGGAGCTATGAACAAGTTATTAAAGGAACTTGCAAATGGTTGTTAGATACAACGAAAAAGACAACCGAAAGTACTAGCTTTAGGGACTTATTGACAAGGTCATGGCCCATTGTAGATCCAAATTAAATAAAACTCCATATGGTGCTGACAATTTGATTTAGGGATGAAGGTTTCAACTTGACGAACAGCCATAATTCATGACGAACAGCCATAATTCATCCATATTGACCTCTACTCAATTCATTTAGGGAGAACAGAAATTTGCAACACCACACACACATACATCCATAATTCATGACGAACAGCCATAATTCATTCATATTGACCTCTACTCAATTCATTTAGGGAGAACAGAAATTTGCAACGCCACACACACACACACACAAAATATATAACAAATTGAACTGGCAACCAAATTAAAAGTACCTAACTATTTACCCATGATTATTTTATCAGGCGTCATAGCATAAATGGTTGTCTTAATTAGTAACAATAAAGGTAATAACATGCATTAGTTTGAGCAACAAATACAATAAGCAATATAAAGTAAATATAAATTACAAAAGAATACATACATGGGATCTCAAACACACATATAAACAATAGACACAGTAGTCAGTAAATATATACAAATAAGAGATATTAGTTTTCGAAGAAGGCTACTAAATTAAAGAGGACCCTTGGAGGCTTCTAATGGACCTAGAAATTGTCAATGATGTGGTATGGTGAACTATCTTGTGAAAATGATTTGAGAGAAGATTGTGCCAAATGACCGTAGGTTTGACTGTTAGAAGAAATAGCGAGATTTAGTTACCAAAAAACATTTGATCGGGAAATGAGCGAGCACAATGCGCTAAGATTCCAAGTCACAACTAATATTATCCTTTTTGCTTAAGTTTTTGGGCTTAAGGTGAATTGAAGAATTAATTAAAGCCTAATTGGGCTTATTTGGGCTATGGACTAGTTTTCCTATGGTTATCTTTGATTCACCTTTCAGCCTTTACATCAATTAGACGATTTGTATGGTCCATTCATATAGGCTTATAGCTTATTCAGGTTATGGATTTCACATTTATGAATAAAAATTTCACAAAAAAAAAAAAAAAGGAAAACCCATACTTCCTTCTCACTCAAAAAAGAAACAATAGGCTAAAGGCTAAAGTGATATGTTTCTTGAGCTTAACTTGTTTGTTAACCCCTTAGGGCCCTAAATCAAATTTATGGCTTCACTCACCTTAGTTCACAATTTAGTGGGGGTTTTAGGTTGATTTTGTTTAGCTTCACTCACTAAACTAGTTAACCGAGCTTAGATTAAATTTCACTTGCCAAAACTAAGGATTCTGATTTAGGTTTACTCACCTAAAACAATGAGAAATCTGGAAAATACGTAAAAAACTTTGAACAAGCTTAAAAGAAAATTATAATCAACAAACAAAACTTCACTTAATTAGCAAACATTTATCCCTATAAATAGGCTACAAAACATACTTGAAGAGTCCTAAACACTTTAGGATTCCTAAACAAATCGGATATTGGCCTTGTTTGTTAAAGAGCCTTTTCAAAAGCTTTTAGCTTATTGAACACCATTAGAGATTTGACCATTTTAAAAAGCTAATTTTGGTGTTTGATAAATAGCTTATAAAAAGAGCAATTTGGCATCAAAAAGCACATTTAGAAAAAACCCTTTATAAGAGCTTTTTAAAATTAGCTTATTGAACACTTAGCTTTTTTAGTATTAAATACACTGAACAGCTAACAATAAACAACTATTTACCAAACACTTTTACACAATCAGCTATATACCACCAACTAGTCAAATCATCTAATAGAACCAGCTAGTCAAACAAGTTAATACAATCAGCTTTATCAACCAGCTACCAGGTTATACTTATAACAAAACAGGGCCATTAAAAACAAAAACAAACGTTTAACTAACATAGACCATTTCCTACTCTATTTCTATAAAAACTTCTAAACAGATAGAATTATAAACTAACATCGAAAAAAATAAAACTAAATCCAAACAATAAATATAGATCCTAATGCTTAAACAAGGAAGCCCCTTTCAGTAGAAACTTGCCAACAAAATACAGACTTTTAAACTTAAAAGAAACTTCCAAGAACCTTCGAGAACTTTCATGAAACTTTAAGAAAGTTATAAGAATGAATCAAGCAAGAAAATCTTGGATGCTTCCGCATCGTTAAGTTTTGGGTATTGTCATATACTTACCATTACTAGCCTATACATAGCTATAAGGGCAATATAGAGAATCTACCTATGCACGACACTTATAAACTGTCAATATAGTTTAGTTACCAACCCTAGTTTTGTACTCCGTAAAAACAATATTCAATACATCCTAGCAATAATTAATTAGATTCACAAGCCGCTATTTCCTAAACTTAATAATCTACTCCAACTTTGGAAGATATTTGTCTGAATTTCAGGAAGACAGAGAGAATGATATCCATAACCTTTTTTTCGTCTTGAAACCATTATGCCATCCAAAAAAGTAACATAGAAATGACAAAAGCAAGGAGGGCCAGTGAGGATCAAACCTTATCCGGAGATGGAACACCTTTATCTGAAACTTTAGGAGGTGCACCATCAGGCACACTCACACAATTGTGTAAGCCAGCTTCTTCCATTGCAAGCTTGTCAATCTCTCCTTCGACCTATGGACAAAGATTTAGAATAGAACAAATTTGCATAATATCATTGGAAGTTTAAAAGAGTACTCACAATGATGATATCACTTGCATTTTTTATATCATCTAACCCATAAAAAATCTTTTCAGTATCAGCTTCCTGCACATCAAAAGAAAATATACATACGACAACCTAAGTATCAAAAATGATGAATTCGACTCAATACATCAATAAAAAGAGTCGGAGGCTAAAAAATCTCCAATAGCCTCAACAATGCAAATCATCTTATCAATTCCCTCTACAAAGCAGTATAACAAATGTTAATGTAATGTGCACTTAAGAATGAAATAGAATTTTTAATTTTTTAAAAAGACTGAAGCACACACCAATCATCACAATAGTAATAATAATACGAAGTCAGTTTGAACATTGTAACACAAATTATAAGACAAAAGTATATAGACAATAAAACCTGCCAAAATTTCTTAGTGACATCACGATATTTGCAGCTTGTTAGAACTCCATTTCGCCTGTAAGTAAATGCAATAACAATCTGAAAAAGGAAGAACATAAGAGATGGGAGTATCAACTGTCACCAGAAATTAAAGATAAATTATACAATCAATTATGTCATGTGTATTTGTAAACAAGTTAAAGATTATGCTTCACATTAAATTGGATAGTTTATAAAAAGATTGGGCAAAAAAAATAAAAATAAATAAATAAACTATATATGTAAATAATAATAAATATAAAAAAAATATTTGGTGTGCTTTTTGATACTTCCTCTGATCCTATTAGGTGTGTTTTTCGATACTTCCTCTGATCCTTTTTTATTGCAAGGTTGAAATTTTTTTACCGGCATTTTGTGATTTATATGTTACGTAAATCATAGACATGGTGGGGTCTTGTAGAATTCATCTCAATTTATACTTTTGAAATATTACCTTTAACCTTTTTATAAACTTTATTAAAGTAAAACTAAAGATTTCAATAGTATAAAATGTACATTGGCAGCATGAAAACACCAACATTGCAATCAAATAAGAACCAATGAAGTACATATTTATTATTATTATTATTTTATTATTATTAGTCCAGCTTTTATGGACAAAGTAATCAATAAAAAAAATTTGCAATGGGAATCAGGAAAAAGTTTCTTAGCATCAAATTACACTAAATTTAAACTGGCATAACCATGATGAGATTATGGAAACCTAATTATTTGTCACTCGTCTCAAATATATATTAAGCAACTAATGAAGGATGAAACATTACCTGATTACCAAAGGTTTTCTGCATAACATAATTTCTCCTCAATGTTTCTGCAGTTATCATTCTCTCCGCAAAATAAGCAAGTAGCTGATACAGAAGCACCATATAATAATTAGCCAATCACATAAGTAACTGAGGGTTTAAAGAGCACTGATAAGGCAGATTACACCACGTCCCAAAGTGAGGACAAGCTCTCTTTCCCTGAATCAGTCATCAAAACAAAGCATTGTAATCTCTAACTAATTTAGCCTTGACAATTTCATTCATGTTCAGTATAGTATACGATAAAAAGCAGATTCAATATGTTTTAGTCCAATCAATGTAGTAACTAGATGAGCTTGGTTTTGGTCTTTTTGATTCAAATTATTGCACCATTTCTTGCTATCTTGATTGAGACAAACAAGACCATGAAAAATTCCTCAATGCTGGGTTAAAAATATACCCATAACTAGATTCACATAAAGCACCAAATATACTGTTGATTAGTTTATGATTTCACATTATTCTTACATTTTTTTCACTAATCAGTACTCTTAAATAATTATATGTCTGTATTTATTGTTCCCTAAAAAGTCAGTATGACCATAGAAGACAACGTGATTTTGTAGATATTAAATGCTATGTTCATTTGCCTCCTGGCTCCTGGCTCCTGCGCCTCATGCCATAATTCCTGAAGAAATCCTATGGCCCTTGTCTGTATGCCTCATGCCTTCAAGGACACGATATCAGATGATGCCAAAATGTTTGATTGATCTAAAACTACATGAGCTTCGGGAACGTGTGAAGTGTAGATCCCAACAGCAATAATCTTGGCAGTAGACACTAAAGCATCTTTAATTGATGTAATAAGATAAATTTAAGTAAACTATCACCTCTTATAATAGATGGAAGGTTTTTGTGGAAAGCTCTGAAGCCATGAGTAAGATTAGAGACCATTTTTAAATTATAAGAAATAAAAATAATCAAAAAATTCCACTTTTGAACTTTTAAGAAACATACAATGCAAATTTAAAAACAATCAAACAACTAGATAGATGCCAAATCACAAAAGTTACACTGCCCTAAGATACTCAAGGGAGTGTAACTTACTGCAGTCAATCAAATAGATTGATTTTTTTTCACTTTTTTTATACATATATTATGCAGATATGTAAAGCATATTAATAAGGGGAAAAAAAAACTACCTCATTACAAAGTGGCTCTAGCCCAAGACTCTTCTCGGTTAATTCTCTTTTTCCAGATGTCATAATTTTATTCAACTTCCCAAAGGATGACTGAGCATTGGCAGCAGCCTATGTAAAACATGCAAAATAGATTACTCCCTTGAGATCAAATAATGAGCGATTAAGACAAAATAGATCAGAAATCATTTACACGCAATCAAGGTTTAGGATATCGAATAAAAAAGAATAATAGATGCAACAGTAACAAACCAATAATGAAATAAACATTTAACCTCAAAAGAAATAGAGTGTTACAAGAAGAGAACCAAAACCAACTACAATGAACAGAAGCTCTACCATTGTGTTGCCCTGCCACCCACATTTTCCACGGAAACAAAGCCACACTGCAGAATTCCTGCAGAAATGAGAAAAATAAATAAATAAAATAATTGAATACGTCTAAAATTCTGAAGAACATTGAGACACAACTATTAGACGAAAATGATGCATACCCATCTTCACTTATGTGTAATGACAAGGAATGCTCACCCGAATCACCACCTTTGCACTGCAAGAGGAAAGTACTAATGATTAAAAATTAATTACAATATAATATTTGATAACCACACAATGCTACACAAAACGAGGTAGAGGTGCAACAATTTAATTGCCTTAAAAAGAATCAGCATTTGATAGTCCCAACCATTTGCATCTAGTGATACAAAGAGAAAGAAATTTTTTTTGCAATTCCTGCTTAAATACTAAGATACAACTACATACAATACCTTCTTTCTTTCAACATTCTACAAAGAAAACCAAAGTCTTTATCCACATTAGACCATCAAAACAGCAGAAAATGGCCATACATACATCATTTTGCTCTTTCATTGAGTCAGAGATACTGTGCTGTTAAGGTTAAATAATTAGCTTCCTATATGCTTTCTTGTAGCTCTTTAACTCTTACAATAAAAAAGAAAGCACATATACTCTCCCTTTCTGTGGGAAAGATTGTCAACAAAAAACTGAACTCAGAAACATTCCCTTAACTAGATACCCAGATTAAAATAGAGTGTTCCAAACACACGGGAATAGGGGCACCATGGAATTGATGCTTAATGCCCACTATGTAACTATGTAACTGCAGCCCTAACTGTGTAACTGCAGCCCTCACTCACCACTCACCCTCATCACATAGAGTTTAGATTTTGATACCATCTTGAAGACGTAAGTTCATAAATGTTCGAGTAATTGGTTGTACACAATAAGAATCAAAACCATGTCTTTCTAGTACCAACCCATTATTAGACCTTTCAAGTAAAAGAAAAAAATAGAGAAATAAAATAAAGTAGAAAAATCATGGCAATGTTGGATGTCTACTCTAGGGGCATGATTTAGAAGTTCACATGATGGCCCAAAAATCCATTACTGTAATTGTTATTATTATTAAGCATAAATACATACTGACTCCTCGGAATATTATTCATTTTAATTCATCTCTTCCACGCACTAAGGTGAACAACACGGATATAAAAAAAATATTAGTACAACAAACTGGCTTGCAATCTTAATGTTATGGCCTAAAAGCCTCATTCATATAACTAGATATTTTAGCATACCATTCTCAAATACATATTCAATCTCTTCTATTAATCCCTTAATAGATGACATTCCTTAACGACAATCCTATTAAATCATATCCATCTATTTCTCTTTGCCATAATCAATGTTACTCCGACCCATCATTCCTTTATGTGTGTCAGATACTCCATAGTTAGACATCGCTATAACTTTTTATAATCTAGCAATTTTTTACCCTTGGACATGTGCTCATGTCTAACACTTCATCCATGTCTAAGTAACATAGGTCAAAAATAACTTTTCTGGGAAAAATAATTCAATATTAGAATCAAATAACTAATACTCAATAGTTACCAACTTACCATAGGGCACAACAACCTGTTATATTGGCCTCCCTTAGCCTCGTGACCTTCAATGCCAAGCTCGTCTAATTTCTTCATCAGTTTACTCAGTCTAGCAGATTTAGGGGTCGAACCTTCCACAGGTGCTGCACGGAAAGAATCAGGCCAGTCAGCTAATGCCATGAATGAAAAATCATACTACAGAATGGCTTTAAAGTCACAGATTCAAGAAACTGGCAACCAAATTACCAAAATATATAATATTTGCATCCACAATAACTATGCACCTATATTTGAACTACATTCTCATGAATATTAAACTATATGTTGCTCCAAAGACCACGATGCACAACCTAATCCCGGTAACACAATACGGTTTTCACTTTTAGTCATGATAATAATGAACCAAGCAACCAAAAACAGTCATTTATCACGCACATATATCTTGGTAAACTTTGAACTAAATGTACTTCCAGGGACTAAAATGTGCAACCAAACTTCATCAACTAATAATTTACTAAATAAGGGCACAAAAACAACAATAATAAAAATTAAAAACATGATTTTATTGAGCAATATAAGTACAAGTACCTGATATAGTGGGATGAGAAGCATAACAAAACCCAGCAATTCTAAGCGAAGTACAGGCCCGTCCCTGAGCCAGGGCAGGAGGGGCAGCCGCCCTTGGCACCGGAACAAAAAATCCATTTTTAAAGTTTCGCCGTAATAATGAAGGGTTTAAAACAATTGCCTGCAACAAACTGCCTCTGAGCCAGGGTAGGAGGGGCAGTCGCCCTGAACCCACAGAGAAAAGCCCCAGTTTCATCAAAGGCTTCTGCAACACATTATCAACCAAATTTCATTCAATTATTAAAATAAGGCTAATATATTTATAGAGAAAACATCCAATTTCATAGTTACATCCTAATAGATTCAAATATCAAATTAAGCTCATAATTTTCTTGTTTAGTAACTATAAACAGTAGTTCAAAAGTCTAAGTTTAGAAGAACCCTAAATTGAATAAACTGAGAATTAAATGAACGATAAACGCTAGTTTGTGAAATTGATATACGATAATTACAAAAGGAAACCAACACATTACATTCTTACCTCAGAAGTTGCTTCAATGGAAGATACAAATATCACAAGTCGCGCGTCAGTAGAGTGCACTTCAATATGAAACTGAGAGAAAGAAAACTGAGTTCACTATTCCGAATTACTCTTTATTAAAAGCTGGGAAATTCTACATTGTGACCTCCGAGTTTTTATTTTTCTACGTAGAAGACACACTTTTTTCCAACTCTCTCAGTTGACACTATGATTTTGCAAAATTATATATAGTGTCCTTTTTTTGGGTTTATGGCTAACTTTTATAATTAAAATAATTAACCATAGATTTTTTGGTTTAAAAATTAATTAAATTATCTTTTAAAATTAAAAAAAAATATAAAAAAAAAAAAGAATTTTTTTTTAAGAAAAAAACACCCCAAACCCACGACCACCCTCCCACCACCCCAACCCCCAAACACCACCGGCGCCCATAATCCCTTTTTACCGCGCCGGCGCCGGCGGCCCCGTCCCCCATCTCCACTGGCGCCCAAACTCCCCCTCCCCCAGCGCGGCGTCCCCTACCCCCTCCTTACCCCACGAATCGGACCACCAACCCCTTTCCATCCCCCACGAAAACCCAGAAAAACCATCCCTCCACCCTCGAAACTCCTTCTCCGTCTCAATCCCGGCGCCCTTACCCTTCTTCCTCCCAATTCCGACCCCCCTTACCTTCAACTACTCCATTTCTTGGGATCTGGGTTGGTGGAGGTTTAGTGGAAACACGGGAGGGGGTTGAGGGTGATTTAATTGCGCTGGGGGAGGGGGAGTTTGGGCGCCAGTGGAGATGGGGGACGGGGCCGCCGGCGCCGGCGCGGTAAAAAGGGATTATGGGCGCCGGTGGTGTATGGGGGTTGGGGTGGTGGGAGGGTGGACGTGGTGGTGGGAGGGTGGTCGTGGGTTTGGGGTGTTTTTTTAAAAAAAAAATCTTTTTTTTTTAATTTTAAAATATAATTTAATTAATTTTTAAACCAAAAAACCTAAGGTTAACCATTTTAATTATAAAAGTTAGCCATAAACCCAAAAAAAGGACACTATATATAATTTTGCAAAACCATAGTGTCACTTGAGAGAGTTGGAAAAAAGTGTGTATTCCACGTAGAAAAATAAAAACTTGGAGGATACCATGTAGAATTTCCCTTAAAAGTTTGAAAGTTTATGACCCGGTTTTGCGCTAAAAAAGGTTTATACCCTATTAATTATATTCCGTCCATGTTTAAATCCCTACTGCCTTATAAAAACTATAAAACTACTCTTATGAAATATAAATAGTGTGATGCCAAATTTATCCTCAAAAAATGTATTTACATATGTATCCTCATTAATATGTAGAAGTTTCTATTCATGAAAAGTATTTGGACAATTATATCCTCAAAAATATGTATTTACTTATTTTCTTTCATAAATAAACTAGAGTGTACCTGATGAGTGACATTTATGTTACCCTTAGGGGTAGTGTATTGGTCTCTTTTCTCCTGTTTTTCTTAGGTTTTCTACCTCTTTTCTCCTCTTATGGCTTCCTTTTCTTTTATGGATGAAAAGTATGCTTATTTGCGCTTGTTTTGATAATCTTTATGCATAATTTTATCATCCCCATGCTCTCGTGATCTTTGCTATCTTTTGCAGGTTCCATGACGGTCCTAAGCACGGTAGGAGGCCCCTTGGCCAAGTATGGAGGCATGGACAAAGACAAGAGGAGCAAAAGGGAAGAAGAGGAAGCAAGAAGAGGAAGTTCAAGAGGAGGTGTGGCCGAACCTCTAAGAGGTTCGGTCGAACCAAGGTGTGGTCAAACTTTTGAAAAGTTCGACCGAACCTCCAAGGCAGTTTCAACCAAGTTTTCAGCATGTTTACAGGAGGGGTCGAACCAGGAAAGTTCGACCAAACAAGGATCAGGGAGGTTCGACCGAACCTACCCTGAGTTCGGCCGAACCTACCCTGAGTCCGACCGAACCTACACAGAGTTCGGTCGGACCTTTTCCCGTTTCAGCTGACTTTTTGCGGAGCTTCCTAAGTAATTTTGTAAGGGGTATAAATAGATTTTTTTTGCTCATTAAAGAAAAAAAAGAAGATTTTTCAGTTTAGAATAGATTTTAGGTTAGTTTTAGATTTTTAGAGAGAGAAACTCTCAAATTTTGGAGAGAGAAAGTGAGGAGCACAATGGTTTTCATGGATTTTGGATAATCAAAGGAGGAATTTGATGATTTGAAGATCTCCATTTTATATCAATGAGCATTTCTTACTCTCTTCTCTCTTTATGCTTTATTAATTGCTTTGTTAATCATGTTTGAGTAGATTTCCTTCTACTAGGTGTTGAGTGAAGCCTTGTTATGGTTAATTGAGTTATTTGAGATAAATTTGATGATAATTGTGTGATTAAATTGATTGAATTGATGATGGCATGTTGTTTGTTTTAGATTGGATTGATCTCCCAAGATAGCAAACTTAATTGCATGTTAGTTCTAGTTTGACAAGGGATTGTGAATTAGAATTTATATATTTGATTGCATTTTGGGTAAATTTCTTCTATGCACCTAGTCAATGAGGGATCTAGGCTAGGAATTTGAGAGATTGCTCTTGATGGTAATTAATTCCCATTTTAATTCTTTCTTTGCATGATTGATTATCAAATCGATTCCCATTAACTTGTTAATTGTTCAAAGTGGATCTTTGCCCCTAGTAGACTTTGTAATATCTTGATCTTTATATGTGTGTTAGTGTAGTTGTAGTGTCCACTATCCATAAACCGACTTCGGCGTAGCTTAAGCATTAGATCGAGAACAATCCAACATTACCGTTCCTTGTGGTTCGACTCCGAACTTACCACTAGACTTGTTTAGGGGTTAGTTTTAGGATTTATAAATTTATTTGATTGAGTGTGGAATGTGCGACCGTTCTAACGCCCGTCAAAATGGCGCCGTTGCCGGGGAGCGGTGTCAATGCTTGATTGTTTTTGATTGCTTGAGTCTAGGTCTTTGTGTATACTTTTCTTTTTATTTTATTTTTTTTTAATTTTTGCTTGTTTTTGTAAAAAAAATGGCAAGTAACTCGTTTCCTCAATATGACAATGAGCCTTTTTGTGAATATTTCAATAGACTTGTGGGATATTTGGATTTTGATTGTTGTAGTCTTTGGGAGGCTTGTGAGATTTGTTATTTTGGTTTGAATGAGCAAACTAGGGATGAAGTTGAATGCATGCATAATGGTGAATTTAGAGCATTATCAATTGATGATGCTTGGGATTTTTATGTTTGGTTTGCTTGGGATGTCTATAATAAGGGTAATCATGATTCTATTATTGATATGCAATGTGTTGATACTTCTAATATTAGCATGAATTCCCATGATTTGTTACATGATCCATTAAGTGAACCTAAAACACATGATTTCAACTCTATTTCCTCTTTTGTTCATGATGATGAGGTACATGCTCAAGTTGATGCTAATGGTGTGTTTCAATATTCTTCATTATTTACCATGCCTTCTTGTGATGTGCTTCGTTCCCTTAATGATGAATCTCATGTGTTTGATTGTGCCCCCACTCCCCAATGTGATGTATATGCTCATGATCTTAATGTTGATTTTTCCAATCTTGGTTGTACTTCTTCTTCTCTTGTTGAGCCTCAACCTTCAACACCTTTTGAATCCCTTATTGCTACTTTTGAATCTCAAATTAGGTGCATTGAGCTTGATAATGAGCTTGGGCCTAGTAAGGAAATGATTCTTAATTCTATGAGAGGTCAATTAGAGATAATGAAAAAGAATGAGGAGCGTCTTGGGGAGGGAAGGAGAAGAAAAGAAGAGTTAGAAAGCCAATTGTCACCCTTGATGCTTGTTTGTGAAAAATCCCAATTTAATGTGTGTGTTGAGGATGATGATGATGATTTTGAGCAACCAAGAGAGTGTGAGGATCCCATTGGTGAGCATATGAGTGATGGTGAAGGAGTTGAGAATGAAGAGAGTGTTGATTTTGAAAATCCTAACCCTTTTTCCCATCTTGATGAGTCTCAAGTGCATGATTGTGATCCTTTTATCCATGAGTATTTGGATTCATTTAAGGTTATGTCTAATGTGTTTATTGAGTGTCAAATGAAAACCCATAGCCTTTTGAGTGAGTTCATTAAGAATGCTTCATGGGAGAGAGACCATTTTGAAATGAATTTGCATCCATTCATGCATGGCTTTGAGATTTTAGGCTTTAAGGAAGTTAAGGGAGTTGTTGTTCATGATTGTAGTGAAGGGGATTATGTAGTTCTTCTTGGAAGTTGGATGTTTGAGGGAGATCATGATCATGAGTGTTCTTCTTTTGAGGATTCTATGATTGATTTTCATGCTCAAATTGGTGATTTGAGGAATGGTGGTGAAGAAGAGACCATTTGTAAGACCATTGCTCCTATCCCCTTCTCTCATGTCCCTTTTTCAAGGAATTTTAACCATATCCCCTACACTCCTATATCCCTTCCTTCCTTTGTTAATGAGCCTATTGGGGACCCCCTTGCCTATGAAGATTTTTATGTCCCTCATTCGTCTTCAATTGAGGAAAAGGGTGATTTTGCCACCCAAAAAGATTTTTGTGAAGAGAGTTTGCCTTTCTATTCTTCTTCTTATTTTCTTGAATTTTCTTTTGATTCTTCTTCTTCTTGGAAACTCCCTCTTCACCTTCTTTTGCGTGCACTAATCTTGGTGCATGCCCTTCTTATATCATTTGCTTACTTGTTATCTTATGAGATGTGTAGTAGTGCATTTAACAAGCTCTTGCGATCGTTGCAATATTATTTACTAGAGCGGTCAAGCTTGGACCTTAAGCAAGCCTTTCTCGGGAAGTAACCCGTGTTTATTGCTTTCATTTTTTTTATTTTTAGAATAGTTTTTGGCCTCATGGAAATGTTTGTGTGCTTGGTGCTAGGTACATAACTTAATATACTCTTATGCATTGGTTTGGATCAAGAATCAAGGAAGTTTGACTCCACTTTTGCTAGCACATGGAAAACAAGATTCAATTTTAGAGGTAGTCGGCTTCAAGAAGGTTTAATTGGGTCATTTGCGGGTACTATACCCACCTAATATCCGGTAATATCCTTCCTTGCTCTTCCTCTAATGATTTGTGACTTG